GACGTGTGCTCTTCCGATCTCGTTTTTTAGCATCAACTGATAATTTCTAAATTCATCTATTTATGTGACCTCAAAGTGTACCAAGTTTCATTAAAATCAGAATTTGACACTTCGCGAGGTTCCCTTGTTAGCCATCTTCAGTGACAAATTAAAAAAATTACATTAAATTCTCGCTCTTAGTTTCCTTTTTTTTATTTTTTTTAATTCGTCACTGAAAATGGCTAAGAAAGATAGCCGAAACGTCTGACTTTAGAATAAAGCAAATTTCATATAAATCAATTAGTGCGTACCAATAACCACGCTGATTCCCATCTGTCTTACTTATGTATTTTTAATTTAAGGAATCTTGTTAGGCTTTTATCGTGTTTATACCATCTTAAAAATGGAGTTTTGTATAAACAGCATTTTTGATCTCATATTGCATTATCAGTGAAGCAAACGCTATTACAGCTGAAATGGAAAGTCTTACCGCACCCCGCAAATTCTCCAGACATTGCTCCGTCTGATTATCACTTGTTCTGATTGATGCAATATATTCCATGGAGGATACGCACTTTCATAATTTCGAAGAAGTGCGAAAATTTGAGAAAATTGGATCAAATTCAAAGAAGAATCTTTTTATCGTCGCAGAATCTATCTCTTGCCAGAATGAACGAAAGAGCATTATAGAAAATGAAGGGAAATATTTTGATAATTTATTATCATCATCATTATAATTATTATCAAGTATTTTGTTGTATTATAATATAATTATAATACAACAAAATATAATTATATGATATAATTATAATACAATAAAATATAATTATATAATATAATTATATTGCAACAAAATACTTGATAATAATTATAACGCAAGATTAGGTACTTACTGTACAGCAGACTGTAATTAAAAAAACGCAAGCGGAAGTCGAAATAGTCGAAATAAATGATAAAATTGTTTAGAGAGTTAAATATTGTAAAGTCAATTTTATAAAGTATTGACTTTCCAGTCAATACAAAACAGCGGCCGCGAACAACATACTAGCAGTATGATAGAGATATTTTGTAAGTTTGGCTGTTTTGTAAGAGTCGCACGCTGAGAGTCGACAGATTTTCCCCACGTCAAGAAC